CCCCCCCCCCCCCCGCGGGATGTTCCGAAAGCCCTGGCGCAGCCGCGCCGCCCCCAGCTTCAGCTTGAACTTCTTCGACTCATCCGCGGTCAAGTTCTCCAGCCCCTCCAGGATGGCGTCTCGCTTTCCCCCCATGGCGCAGCCCTGCGTCCTCTGAGCTTCCGAAAGCTCCGCGCTGTGAGCCACAAGCCGGTCCTGTCCCACAGCAGGTGGCCGCCGCCCGGGAGGACATCCTGGGGAGACTGACCTGGCAGTCTGCCAGGGGAGGCCATGGTCCAACCCTGTGCCTCCTGCTGGGTGGAGACTCTTTGGCAAACACTGCCTAGAGGGTCCCCCAGTTTACCCTGGGAGAGTGGGTGGCACCAATTTGTTGAGGTGGGGATTGCTGTTCCCACTCTGCAGAGGCAGCAGAAACTGAGGTTGGAAGCCATAAAGGCAGGAATAGAACTGATTCCAGGGCCATGCACCTCCCAGCAAAGAAGTGGCTTTGGCAGGAGCTGTCAGGAGTTCCTCCGTACTTGCATTTCAGGAATCACAAACTGACAGGGCTTGGGTAGGATCCAGCCCACAGATGTGTTTGTTTGGTCGAGGCAGGGGCACTTTTATTAAATTGCCCGCCCCCAGAGCCCATGGTGTGCAGGGAGGCTGACTGGGCATGAGGCTGACTGAGGCCGATGTTCTGCTTTTAAGTAAGGGGGGAAGACCAGGAATAGGGGGAGGTGGCATTTCTTCTTTCACACATCCTTCGCTGTGTGCCAACCTCTGTACTCGCCTGTCTGGTGATGTGTTTGTCATCCTCACAAAGACCTATGCTGGGGGCGCTGACCGCTAAGGGGATGGGATCAGGAAAGGCAAGGCCAGGGAGGAGTTAACAAAACAGACAATGGGAGGGGAAGGCATCAGACCTCAGGACCAGTAATGGAGGCATGCAAGTGGGTTTGGGGAGGGAACATGGGTGAGGAAGAGCTGGCATCGAGGCCGAGATACAGAGGGCAGGTTTAGGGTGGGAGGTGTGGGTTTGGGGTGGGTGCATCCGCATCACTTCTTTATGCCCTGCCCTGCAGACGCAGCTCCCGCAGCAGAAGCTGCAGCTGCAGGAGGCGTGCATGCGCAAGGAGAAGAGTGTGGCTGTGCTGGAGCATCAGCTGGCAGAGGTGGAGGTGAGGGGCTCAGCACGGCAGAGCCTAGGGACTGGGGGCCCAGGCTGGGGGTCCCCAGTGAAGTACTCTTGCTTGTCTGCCATCCCCCTTCCCTTGCAGGAGACAGTGCGTCAGTTCCGGGGGGCTGTGGGGGAGCAGCTGGGCAAGATGCGGGTGTTCCTGGCTGCACTGGAGGGCTCTTTGGACCGCGAGGCAGAACGTGTGCGGGGCGAGGCAGGGGTCGCCTTGCGGCGGGAGCTAGGGAGCCTGAACTCTTACCTGGAGCAGCTGCGGCAGATGGAAAAGGTGCTGGAGGAGGTGGCCGACAAGCCACAGACTGAGTTCCTCATGGTGAGCACTGGGTGACCTCCTCTCCCTGCCCCTCGGCCATGGCTCTGGCCACAGAGATCTCACCTTGTTGTCAGGCAGGGACCCCGAGGACCAGAGAAAGGCAGGATAAGCCAGGGCCACACATCCCGGAGGGGTGGGCTCAGGACTGCTGTTGTGGTTGTTTGGTTGGGTACTGCACAAGTGTACTATAAGTGGGCACCATTCATATCATAGACATTGTAGATGTGTACATTTATTAGGACCATCTTCTAACAGGTGGAATTAGAGATTCTTGGGGAAAGGGTACTTCTTTCTAATTCACACAAAGGGAAAGGGCTAAGCGTGGCCTTGAGTTCTGAGTTTCTTTTGGCTTTTCTGATTCTTCCTGACCCCACACTCAGCACTCCTAGTTGTCTATCCCATCATCAGAAGTCCCCAGTGTCCCCTGCTTGTCTCACCTCCATTCTCTTTTTTTCTCTCTCCAGAAATATTGCTTGGTGACCAGCAGGTGAGATCAATCTGCCCTGCCCTATTGCCCAACTTGCCCTAGTCTTTTAGGGACCCCAGCTGGCTTACCCTCTACTCACAATGTACCTGCACACCCCCAGTCCAGTCCACTGCCATTTTCCTGCACTTTGTGTTGATACAGAAACAATCCAGACCATGTCCCTACCCTCAGGGTACTCCCAGACTGGTGGTTGGAGCACATGTGGGCAGGTACACAGGCATCATCGTGTGCTCAGTACTGCTGTGGAGGGAAAAGAGTGGTCAGGGAAGGCTTCCCACAGGAGTGAACATTTGTGCTGGACCCTGGAGGAGTGAATAGGAGTTAGCTAGGTAAAGAGCTGGGGGAAGAACATTGCGGACATGGGGAACAGCAGTGCAAAGACTGGTAAGTGGGACAGAAGATGAAGCTGGCGTGGCAGGTGGGAGCAACTGGGAAAGGCTGACCTTATCCCAGCAGAGGATTTTTTATTTTTTAAATTGTGGTAAAATACATACAACACAAAACTGGCTATTTTAAGCATTTGAAAATGTATATTTTAAGTTCAGTGGCATTTAGTACATTCACATTGTGCAACCATCACCACCACCCATCTCCAGAAACTGAAACTCCAGTGGCAGAGTTTTAAGCAGGGGTATGATGTGGGAGGATCCTGGACCCCCCTCCCCCAAGCCCTTGTCCTCCTGTCCCCGGGAACTTCCTCTTGCCCTCCCCTGTCACAGACACCTGCCCCTCACCTCCCCATCCCTAGGCTGCAGAAGATCCTGGCAGAGTCACCCCCGCCCGCCCGTCTGGACATCCAGCTGCCTGTTATCTCAGATGACTTTAAATTCCAGGTGTGGAGGAAGATGTTCCGGGCTTTGATGCCAGGTATTGGGAGGGACTGACCCTGGGTTTGCGTGTGTAACGGTGTAGTTGGTGGGAGGCCCCAGCTGCACATAGAGAGGCTTCCCAGTCCCAACTGGGAAGGTCATGGAAGAGGGTACACATTGCTCCTTTACCTCTGGGCTCCTCCCAGCCCCTGTCAGCTCCCTACTTGTGTTCAGAGGAGGACCTTTGAGTGGGTGGCTGACCCGGAGAGGATGCTGCTGGCTGCCAGAGGGCTGCTGCTGCTGGCGGCATGGGAGGCTGGGACCTGTATTTGAGCCACTGACTTCCTGTTCGATCTTTGGCCAATCCCTGCCCCTCACTGGCCAGTGGGGATGATAATTCCTGCTGACTGGGTCAGCCTTCAATTAGAATCTACAGAGCTCTTGGAGTCTTGGGGACTGGCCTCGGTCAGACACTGACTCTAGTGGCCTGTGGCTGGGGAGGTGCAAGGGCTCAACCTGCTCTCCCAAGAGCTAGAGTGCATCGGGTGCTGCAGGTTCCAGAGCTCCAGGACATATGTGGCTGGAGAAGCCCCTACTGCCTTGGGGGAGGTGGGAATGGAGGTGCCCCCGTTTTATTCAAGAGAAAAGTAAGGTCCAGAGACTGGGTGGACTGACTGAGGACCAGGCTTCCTGACTGTCTCCCACTCTGTGTCCTTGGGTGTTGGGTCTTTTCTGGGCTTCAGATTGGTGAGTCACAGTCTTGTATCAACTCAGTCCTTCCCACAACCCTGGAGGCAGGTGATTCTCTCACAGCTGAGCTGACCCAAGCTCAGAGAGGTGTGATCTTTGGCCCAAGCCAGTGAGCAGAAAGAGGCTCACCTCCCAGAGATGTCGGGAGGATTAGAGGAGACAAGCCTGGCCCATGAGCTGGTTGGGAGAAGGCTCGAGGGAGGCAAAAACGCAGGTGCCTGACCATTGTCTCCGCAGCGCTAGAGGAACTGACGTTCGACCCGAGCTCGGCGCACCCGAGCCTGGTGCTGTCCCCCTCGGGCCGCCGCGTGGAGTGCTCGGAGCAGAAGGCGCCGCCGGCCGGAGAGGACCCGCGCCAGTTCGACAAGGCGGTGGCGGTGGTGGCACACCAGCTGCTCTCCGACGGCGAGCACTACTGGGAGGTGGAGGTGGGCGACAAGCCGCGCTGGGCGCTTGGCGTGATTGCGGCCGAGGCCAGTCGCCGCGGCCGGCTGCACCCCGTGCCCTCGCAGGGCCTCTGGCTGCTGGGGCTGCGCGACGGCAAGGTCCTGGAGGCGCACGTGGAGGCCAAGGAGCCACGCGCGCTGCGCACCCCTGACAGGCGGCCATCGCGCATTGGCCTCTACCTGAGCTTCGGCGACGGCGTCCTCTCTTTCTACGACGCCAGCGACGCCGACGGGCTCGTGCTGCTCTTTGCCTTCCACGAGCGCCTGCCCGGGCCCGTGTACCCCTTCTTCGACGTGTGCTGGCACGACAAGGGCAAGAACGCCCAGCCGCTGCTGCTCGTGCGGCCCGAGGGCGAGCAGGCCTGAGCAGCCTCGCGGGGTCGGGGAGGGGTGCGGGGTCCTGACGGCTGGGGGAGACGGGTG